AAAAGGAAGAGAATAGTCCAAAGAAGCCTGAGCAAAGTCCCACAGGATAATAAATAGAGCTACAGACAATGTTGTCTCACCATCTGTCTGAGAGTTCCTCTGGAATATTGTGCTTGCCTCTGGATTGGCAGAACGGTTAAACTCCAAAGCTATATGTATAGAGGGAGAAAAGAAAAAAAAGATGTAATCATTTGTAAAAACTGATCAACTCATTTATTCGTCTGCTGCTTATTTGACAAGAAGAGCCATAAATAAATGGTCCCATGGCAGCCTGGGAGAAAGATGAGAGAGCAAGAACTGAGCAATTGGGAGGGGAGGCGAAAAGAAACTGCTGGACTTGGTGGGGAAAGACTAAGGGGTGGGAATGCAAGGCAGAGCCAGCTTGTGCTCCTGGCCAGCCCGTGGGAAAGCTGGCTACAGGCAGAAAGGAGCTCGAAGTAGGCGATGCCTCCCAGGGGACCTTGGGGACAGCAGCAGCCAGAGGCAAGCAGAAGGCAGATGGCATCCGTCACCTCCTTACCTTCAGGCATCTCCCGGTCATGGATGTGGTGCATGTGGAGGTCCTCACCAACTTCAACAGTCACCTCAGCAGGCTGCACAGCAGCAGCCATGGGTGCCCCTGCCATCCCATCCCCAGCTCCTGCCATCTTGTCCCCAGCTCCTGCCTCATAGATCTCAGATTCAGAGGGACACACGGACCCCTGTTGCTGGTCAAACTCAGGGTCACTGGGGCGCACACAACAGGTCAGTATGTTCCCCATGGGGCGCCTCTACTGTCTGCCACCACCTGGGCCTCTGCTCACAGCTTTGGCCACGCACTCCTGCTGCCCTAGGCCAAGGCTATGCTGCACTTGCAGAGATGGTCTTGTCTGCTGCTCGCCTGCCCACCTCACAGGCCGGCCGTGGCCCCGCACTCCCGCTGCCCTAGGCCGAGGCTATGCTGCACTTGCAGAGATGGTCTTGCCCACTGCTCGCCTGCCCACCTCACAGCCCAGCCCCGGGCCCTGGGCCCGGGGCCCCGGCCCCAACTAGGGCTGCAGACCAAGGCCCGCACCCTGCCACCTCCCCCTGAGTTGACTTGTCTGGGAGGGTGAAGACCAGTCGACTTATTTAATAGGTTGTGAACCCAACAAGCACTGAGAGACACAACAACTGCCTGAAGAGAGAACAGAGGGAGCTCCTCCTCCTTCTGTAGTCACCTACAGACTGAAGCCCACTGGCCCAGGTGGGAGCCCAGGCATGTGGCACACAATGCCCCACCCCACACATCACAATGCCCTCCCCGACAGCTCACAGTGCCCCACCCTGGCTGCCACCCCTCCCCAACAGCTCAGAATGCCCCTGCCTGGGCTGCCCCACCCTGTGGCTTATGATGCTGCTGCTCTCCTGGCCCCTCGTGCAGTGCCAGTGGAACTAAGGTTTTCATCCATCACCAGCTTCCTGAGCTTTTTAGTCCTAAGAAAAGCACAGGGTAGTTCGTTGCTTGAAGCCGTCTTCCTCTATGAGTTCTACACAAAGCCTCAGTAGAGTGGATCGCGTTAGCAACCAAGTTGAACAACTTCTATTTACTGACTGAATGTAGATATACCTGAATGGCTGACTGCTTTTGTAACTAAACACTCCTCTCCTGTCTTCCAATGAGTGGTCGTTTTTGTCTGCAAATTGACCACAGCAATCCCTGGGGCCCTAGCTCTATTCTCAGTAAAGAGTTACGGCTGTGTGTCTTGAATAACACCTTAGGACCCATCCTGCCTCCACCTCCTTCTCCATAAAAATAGAAACCTAACTTGTCCCTCCAAGCTCTGAAATGCTGAAACTTACCAACTCCCTTTTCTCCCCGCTATTTCTTTCTTCCATGGCAGAGACTTTCAGATTTTCTTTCTTCTACTAACAAAGCACTATGCATGATTTTGTCATACAAAATTGAGAGCCATAAAGTGGGTTACCACCATCCTAATTCAATAAAGATAATACTCGACATCTGGCAAGTAGTGTGTGCTTGACAGTGTCCCCACAGTTATGCTCACTTAACCCTCAGAAACAATCTCATTTTACAGATTTTACAGAAAAATTTGAGATGGAGAAGGTAAGTAACCTCCTCAAGTAACCTCACATGACTGCTAAGGGTGGGGCCACAATTTGATCCCAGGGAGTCTGAATCCTCCAGTTCTTCAAGTATGATTATCAGAAATTATATCAGTCTGTTTTCACACTGATATAAAGAAATACCTGAGGCTGGGCAATTTATAAAGGAAAGAGGTTTGATTGACTCACAGTTTCACATGGCTGGGGAGGCCTCAGGAAATTTATAATAATGGCAGAAGGAGAACCAGGTCCAACTAACATGGTGGCTGCACAGAGAGTGTGAGCATGTGAAGGAGCAACTGTCAAACATGTATAAAACCATCAGATCTCAGCTGGATACAGTGGCTCACACCCACCCTAGCACTTTGGGAGGCCAAGGTGGGTGGATTGACTGAGGTCAGTAGTTCGAGACCAGCCTGGCTAACGTAGTGAAATCCCATCTCTTACTAAAAATACAAAAATTAGCTGAGTGTGCTGGTGCATGCCTGTAATCCCAGTTACTCAGAAGGCCAAAAGCAGGAGAATCGCTGGAATCCAGGAGGCAGAGGCTGCAGTGAGCCAAGATGGCGCCATGGCACTCCAGCCTGGGCGAGAGAGCAAGACTCAATCCCAAAAAACAAAACAAAACAAAACAAAATCCTGTAAGATCTCGTGAGGACTCACTGAATACCACAAGAACAGCATGAGGAAAACTGTCCCCATGATCCAGTCACCTCCCCCCAGGCCCCTCCCTGGACACATGAGGATTATGGGGATTATAATTCATGCTGAGATTTGGGTGGGGACACGGCCAAACCATATCAGAAAGTAAAGGTAGAAGTCAAGCTTGGATGGCAAGTGACACTGTAGATTACTATTCTTTTTTTGTTTTTTATTTTTGAGACGAAGTTTTGCTCTTATTGCCCAACAAATTTTTGTTTTTCTAATTTCATGTTCAGATTGTGTCTTGCAGATGTACAGAAATACAATTAATAAATGATTCTATTAACCCTTTATGCTTCAACCTTGCTGAACCCTCTTTTTTTTTTTTTTTTTTTTTTTTCAGATGAAGTTTCATTCTTGTCGCCCAGGCTGGAGTGCAATGGCGCAATCTTGGCTCACCCCAACCTCCACCTCCTGGGCTCAAGTTATCCTCCTGCCTCAGCCTCCCGAGTAACTGGGATTACAGTCATGCGCCACCATGCCTGGTTAATTTTGTATTTTTAGGAGAGATGGGGTTTCACCATGTTAGCCAGGCTGGTCTCAAACTCCTGACCTCAGGTGATCTGCCTGCCTTGGCCTCCCAAAGTGTTAGGATTACAGGCGGGAGCCATCACTCCTGGCCCCTTTTTGTGTTTTAACATCAGTCAACCCTCATATTTTAAAATAATAACAATGAATGGCGGTACCTTAGAACAAGGGAATTATACATCTTCCTCTTGTCCTGATCCTGGTGCAGACATTTTGCCTATAAAATGTTACTCACAGATGAATTCATGAGAACATTATTGTGACTTTCAAATCCATATAC